GTGATTTGCCATTGCCTTCCTCTGCAGAGCCTTCCTTGGCGGTCTCCCATTCAAGTACCAATACTGCTTAGCTTCCGACTTCTGGTGACCCCAGCAAGGGGCTTTCAAGAAAACTGAGAAGCGGAGGTGGTTTTCCATTGCCTTCCTCTGTAGAGTCTTCCTTGGTGGTCTCCCTTCCAAGTACCCACCCTGCTTAGCTTCTGACTTTTGGTGACCACAGCAAGGGGCTATCAAAACAAGTGAGAAGCAGAGGTGGTTTGCCCTTGCCTTCCTCTGCAGAGTCTCCCTTGGTGGTCTCCCTTCCAAGTACCCGCCCTGCTTAGCGTCTGATTTATGGTGACCACAGCAAGGGGCTTTCAAGACAAGTGAGAAGTGGAGGTAGTTTGCCATGGCCTTCCTCTGCAGAATCTTCCTTGGAGGTCTCCCTTCCAAGTACCAACCCTGCTTAGCTTCCAAGATATGACTGGATCGGGCCATACCAGGCTGCCTTCCCTCCAACCACTTGTCTACGCTGGTTCCGATTCAATAAGCTTCAAGCTCGAGGAAGCCTCCTCCCTTAGGCAGATCTCTTTGTATCCCAACCTCCCCCCCATCTCCTCATCTATCGGTACATGAGCCGAGAAGAGGGTTTGCAGAGGATGCATTAAAAGTAGACATTGTTCTGTTAGGTTGGGGGAGTTTCTCTGAGCTTGGCCCCGACGAGCTCATGGACTGCACTGTTTCTTTGCTCTAGAGATTCTCTGTCTGGTTTTTAATGGGCTAGCTCAGATTGCTCCATTCCATGGAAACTGAACCAAAAAATGGCCTTGGCACAGGTCTGCTCGAGTTGCGATTAGTGTCCAGGACTTGGAAAGCGGAACAGAGAAAACACTTTTAATTGTCGTGTGAGACTAAAAGTTCTCACTCATCATACATGCAAATTTAGAAACACACACACACGCAAATCAAGATAGCGAATTGAGAAATGGCATAAGACACTTCAGGAGAACGTTACTGTTTTATCAGAAATGACGTTTATGGGGAAAGAGAGACAACGCTAATAAAGGCTGGGTTCCCAACGCCTTACAATTTTACAGTGGGGGAAAAAGTCAAACACTGAGTTTAAAATGACGTCTCTGCGGAGGAGAAGGCCACAAGGTATATGCCCGGTGCATGAACCACTGTTATCTCCCATCACTGCTGGTATTTGGAAAAGAGAGGGGGGCAGTTGGCAACCAAGCCCTGCCATTTCAAAGATTGATCATTCCAATGGAAGGGAGTTAATCTGTTCCTCTGTTTTTGAACTAAGTGTCTATGTGTTCCTAAGTTGTAAACAGTGAGTCTCGGAGGGCATGTTACAATTCCCAGAAGCCAGCTCTGCTATGTCTGACATGCAACAGAATCCAAGAAAGCTCTCTTGCTGTACACTCTGATGGAACACACGCACATTTGATGGAAACCACAACCTCCAGCGCCATTGGTCACCCAGCCAGCTGTTTTTTTCCAAGTTTTGAGAGGTTTGTTGCACTATGGGAGATTTTTCTTTAAATTTCATACGTTTATTTGCGCGTGTCTGGGTAACAGAATGCTTAAAAAATGTTCTTTCTCCAACAGCAAAAAGAGTCTGACCTCTCTGGAACTCCTCTGAACCTAAAACAGACCCCGGTTTCCTTTGCCCGGCAATATGGGGGAGGAAATATCCATTGCGCCAGTGTGGCTGTAATGGTCAGGGTGCTGGAATGGAGAGTCCTGGGTTCAAACACCCACTGAGTGACCTTTGGGCCTGTCACCGTCTCTTAGCCTAACCTACCTAATGGGATGGTTGTATTCCAGGGGTCATTTCCTGCAGGAGTGCACAGGAGCAGAGCTCCGGCAGTAAAGAGCCCAGGGGGTGGGCACATGCAACAAGCCCCACCCCCTGCTCCCAGCAGCCCTGGGCCACGAGGAGCAAGAAGCAGCCAGGTAAGTTGCCGTGGGTGTTGCCCTCTGACACACTTCCGGTGATGTCAGGGGGTGTGGCATATGCAAATAAGTTATGCTAATGAGTTGTGCTAATGAGCTCCTGCACCTCTTTTTCTACGAAATGACCCCTGGTTGTATCAAGTCGCGGAGGGGAACATATGCCCCGCCCTTCACTACCCAAAGATGTCTCAGAGCAGCTTACAAACTCCTTTCCCTTCCCCTCCCCACAACAGACACCCTGTGAGGTAGGTGGAGCTGAGAGAGCTCTTGACAGAAACAGCTCTTTTTCAAGAACAGCTCTTATCAGAACTACCGCTTGCCCAAGGTCATCCAGCCAGGTGCAAGTGGAGGAGTGGGGAATCAAACCCATTTCTCCCAGATTAGAGTCCGCGCACTCAACCACTACACCAAACTGAAGATTTATCAGCCTCAGCGTCTGTCATACTGATGTTTTGGTTCTGGTCTAATGCTCCAAAATCCAGTATGCCTCAGCTGGACTCAAGTGGGGAAGTCCAGCTCAAATGTTTATGCTACCAACGTCTTACTCAGTTTGCACATTAGTATCCTATCAATCCTCTCCCCACGTGCAATGTGAGAAATACAAAACCACTCCGGATCCTTCCTTACAAGGTGTTGCAAGGATTACTGAGATGCGTTTTTAATTTTTAACTATATTTGTTGTATTTTTGACATAATGTTACCTGCCCTGAGCCCACTTGCGGGACAGGTGGGCTATAAATACAAATAATAAATAAATAATGATAAATAAATGTGGGGTTTTTTTAATATTGCCTTTTTTCTGTTTCATTTTGTTTTGCTTTGTTTCGTGTTATGGATGCCTACAGATTAGAGCTTAGTTTAGGAGTAATTGATATGCTTTAAAATAGGATACTGTAGTAGGAACAAGTTACAAAGTGCTAAAGGTTGGCCAGAAATGATTTATATGAATTATTAGTGATACTAGAGATAAGATAACACGCTGTTGTGGTATTTAAGAGTAAATAATATACTTAGAAACTGGGTAAAGTAAAATATACAAGTGATAAATCCATTAGGTAATGATTGGTCAGAGATGAACACAGGGATAAGTGAAAATTGCTGTATAATCCTTCAAGCGAGTTGTTGTATAGAATTTATGGTTGATGGTATATGCACTTTCTCTCTCTTTTTTTGGAAAATAATAAAAACATGTTAAAAATAAAAATAAAAGAGTCTATGTAATATTACATGTTATTTATCCATGTAAGGCCCGTTCATTAGATCCTGAGAAGTTTTGGAGTAGGTAGTCACCAACAAGCTAACATAGGGTTGCCAACCCTCCCCCCCGATGGGGGCGGGGGTCTCCCTGGTTTCAGGGCTCCCAATTCACTGTCATCCAGCTGGCCAGCAGGGGGAGCCCTGCCCCTGAAGAGTCCAGGCATGCCCAATGTGCCCTCCTGGTGACATCATCACACCGGACATGTTGTTCGGGGGACACTCTAGTATTCAAGTAAAAACTCTGTGGTGACCAGAAGAGTCCCAGAGCCAGCCTGGACCCCCCACCGGGATGAAGGTAAGACCTGGCAACCCTAAGCTAACGACGATGAACTATATATTGCATTGAATAAACTTTCAGCTGCGTCCATCTCTGTCATAAGAACATCAGAGAAGCCAATGTTGGATCAGGCCATTGGCCCATCCAGTCCAACACTCTGTGTCACACAGTGGTCAAAAACACCAGGTGCCATCAGGAGGTCCAGCAGTGGGGCCGGGACACTAGAAGCCCTCCCACTGTTGCCCCCCTCCAAGCACCAAGAATACAGAGCATCCCTTGCCCCAGACCGAGAGTTCCTATCTATACCTTGTGGCTAATAGCCACTGATGGACCTCTGCTCCATATGCTTATCTAATTTCCTCTTAAGAACAGAAGAGAAGCCAATGTTGGATCAGGCCAATGGCCCATCCAGTTCAACACTCTGTGTCACACCATGGCCAAAAATACCAGGTGCCATCAGGAGGTCCAGCAGTGGGGCCAGGGCACTAGAAGCCCTCCCACTGTTGCCCCCCTCCAAGCACCAAGAATACAGTGCATCACTTGCCCAGACTGAGAGTTCCTATCTATACCTTGTGGCTAATAGTCACCAATGGACCTTTGCTCCATATGTCCATCCAATCACCTCTTAAGAACACAAGAGAAGCCAATGTTGGATCAGGCCAATGGGCCATCCAGTCCAACACTCTGTGTCACACAGTGGCCAAAAATACCAGGTGCCATCAGGAGGTCCAGCAGTGGGGCCAGGGCACTAGAAGCCCTCCCACTGTTGCCCCCCTCCAAGCACCAAGAATACAGAGCATCCCTTGTCCTAGTCCAGTGTCTTGTTTGTGTGGTCACTGAATCCAGAAAAGATGGAACTGATGGCGGTCAGAAGCAATGCTCCCTCTAAGCTGTGGAGTCCTGAGAGCAAAAATTCTACTTTGTGAGCTACCAGCATTAAAGCTGTGAGCAGGTGATTTGGCTACGGCATAAATTAGTTTGCTCTGTGTGAGCCGGAGGCTAAAAAACTGTGAGCTGGCTCACACTAACTCAGCTTGGAGCGAACACTGGTTAGAAGAAAGTGGATGATGTCGAGCATTACATTCTGAGATGTTTATGGCATGAACAACTTAGGCAAAGGTTTATTTATCCTATTGTACCTCTGTATAGTGGAATTGCTGAGCAGGATTTGACCCTGTTCTTGCTTTCTGATACTGATGCACATGTTACTAGCAGAATGGCTTTGTTTGCACTGGCGGCAAAAAAGATAAGACGGGGTCTAGGACTTACTGCAAGTTACTGATGTATATTTCTGTTGTGCTTTGATTTACTTTGTGTTGTTATGGCCAATGGCTAAGACAATAAACGAAACTTGAACTTGAAGTTTGTCAGAAGGAGCACTGCTTTAAACTGAACCGTTCTTTCGAGGGTAACTTTCACTGGAAGACTCCGTTAAGAGTCCAGGAGCTTTGGGGGACCCCCGTTCCCTATTGGAGAAACCGGGGACTGTAACAGAGGAAACTGCTTTCTCCCAGCATAATCTCACCTTGTCGTCATCGTCGTCGTCATCTTCTACATCCAAACAGTCCTTTAAAAAAAAAAAAGGCAGAACAACATCATTAAAACATTCTAAGAAGTTTCAAACCAATAAGGGCAGCTTTACATGGCACAGGCCACAGTAAGCCAAACACACAGCTGCAACAGCACAGATATACACAACACACATTAAAGAAAAAGGTAAGATGGGATGAACATGATAACTGAAAGATGAGGAACCTTAGATCAAGACACCGTGTGCATGTCTGTATAAATGGCGCAGGGCTGGAATACTTGAATGGCCACCTCTTCCCATACTGTCTAGCTCAGTATTTTTAGTCCTTCCCCCAAGGTGTGCTCTCTTCAAAGGTGAGGTGAGTGGTGACCAGAGACAGGGCTCTTTCGGTGGTGGCCCCTCACCTGTGGAATGTTCCTCCCGCTCAAAGCTCTTTGGTTGCCTACCCTGTTCTTGTTTACATGTCAGGCCCAAACACTTCTTTCTATTCAGGCTTTTAATGAAGAGGATTTGATCTTTTCAAACTGTTCCCCCCCCCCAGTCTGGTTGATTAAATGCATTTATTTAATTTCCCTCCTGAGGATGTTGGGACCCCAAGCAGGTGTGGTGAATAGTACAGAATAGGGTTGCCAACCTCCAGGCAGTCAAAGAACAAATATATATACTGGCAGCCTTGAGAAAGACAGGAGTGCTCCATCTATGATTGTCAGCTGCTTAATGGGCCTTTTGTAGGACCAGCAACAAACATCAATTTAAACTTCAATGTAACCACAAAAGGAAACTTCCCCCTTTAGAAGACTTTCAAGCAAGGAGAAGCGGTTGTACAATTCTAGAAACTCCCCTTGGGGTTGATTGTGTAAAAAGGATGTAAATTGACCGGTAGCTATTAGATTGTACAAACTGATTATTATTGTTGATATTGCATGTAATGAATATATACCCGTTTTAGAATATTATGAATAATACACAATGCACTTTATAAGACGGAACATATAGAACACTTTAACTTATAAATAAGGTTTTTGCAGTGTATATATTTGTTGTTTGACTCTTCTAACACTGCAGCTCAAGTTTCCACAACCTCCAGGCAGTGGCTGGTTTTGTTGTTCAGTCACACTGTCAAGTCTGACTCTTCGCGACCCCATGGACCAGATCCCGCCAGGCCTTCCTGTCTTCCGCCGTCCTCTGGAGTTTGCTCAATTTCATGTTCATTGCAGTAGCTAGAGATCTCCTTAAATTACAAGTGATCTCCAGGAGAGAGATATCGGTTCGCCTGGAGAAAATGGCCACTTCAGAAGGTGAACTATCAGGTATTATATCCCACTGAAGTCCCTCCCCTCCCCACGCTCCATCCCCCAAATCTCCGGGTATTTCCCAACCTGGACCTGGCAACCCTGGTGCAGGAGCAATGTTATTAAACAAACTCTAAAAACTGCAGATCTAAATCTTTGCCTTTAAGTCTTTGAGTTACAAAGGCCTCGGCCACACGGGCAGGAAAATGCGGGGGGAGGCGTGGCTGTTTGCCCCGGAGCAAACTAACGTGCGACTGCGCAATCAGCCATCGGGTTGAGGTCCCGTCGAGTTCTCTTTTTTTTTTTGACACAATTTTTATTTGGATAACACACATTTCACATATATCAGTTTCTGTCTATATCCATTTCCTCTTACTCCCCCCCCTTATAGGCTTCCCACAACGCTCCCATCACCCGCTCACATCTTAAATCCTTAATTGTTTAAATCTTGTTATTACAACACTCTAGGTAACTTATATTCTTTAAGCGTCCATTCTAATACATAATTTGTATTTCATTACTATCTTTACCTAATAGTTTACAAAGCAAATCAATATGTCCTTAACATCCCAGTATTTCTCTAGGTCCCGTCGAGTTCTCGTGGTTAGGGGGGAGGTGCTGATCACACGACGCAGCAAAGAAGCGGAGCAGCACGGCAAACGGGGTTGTGTGTTTTTTTTAAAAAAACTGAAATGTGTGCATGCTCCGTTGGGTGCTTGTGTGCATCCGTGGAGACTTGGGGGGGGGGGAACCTTTTTGCGAGGGGACATGGGCGGGCATTGGAACTACCACCGGAAACGCGATCAGACGCCCGCCCTTGCCCCGCTGTTTCCGGAAACTAGTACCTCTGAGGTACTAGTTTTTTACCCCGCATCTTCGGCGGGAAGCCTTGGGTGCGCCACGGGAGCTCTACACTTCCCAGATGTGGCGGTGAGATCGTGCCCGGAAAATCCGCCTATCTTCCGTCTCTCTAGCGTGCCTAATGCTCTGTGTGACCGGGGCCACAGACAGATAAGCTAAACAGACATTAAAACATTAATGCCAGCCTAAAAACACCTTATGCCCCCCCCACCAGTGGTACTGTCCCTCGGACCAAACTCAGAATGCCCCGTAAGCTCTCTGCAACAGCTGTTTTGCAACCCTGCTAGAAAGCAGGGAAGACGGAAGGTTCCACACACGCGATCGGTTCCAGGGGTCTGTTCCAGAGGCGGGGGGGGCACCCCCTGAAAAGGAGCCAGCCTAGATTGTTGTTGAACACCCATTGGGCAAGGGGAATCCATACTGCTGGGGAGGATGACGCTTTTGTTCTGAGCGCTGTTTCACAAGGATCATTTTAGACTGTTTTATGATGTTTTTATGTTCTGGTTGGGGTTTTTTTAACCACTGGGGTTTTAATAGTTAGTTAACCTTTATGGCTTCTCTGGAGAGATGGCATGTAAATCTTCTAAATAAATGGACGGCCATGGTATTTCGGCAAACCTTTTTCTACGGCGGCAAACCTTTTTCTACGGGCAACTTGCTTCTGTCAATTAAAAAAACTTAAATATTGTGCAATTTTCCCCCTCCCTTTTGGAGGCATTTATTTTAAAAAGTTTTGCTTTTAAAAATGGTTTTGCCTGAACGGAAGCGCCATTGGCCAAGCCTCAATTTTAAGCCTAAATAGAGAGCTCTGTGCCAGATGCGGTCCGGAAGTTCTAAAGGCATTTGACGTTTTGTTTTCTGAATTACAGATCTATAATGTTATTTTAATTCATCGCCACATTTTACTGTCGGGAAGCAGCTTTGTGTTCGCTCTGACAAATGAACCAGTTTGAATGTCAAGGCTGAGAATTCAAACCCTCAGTCTGTTCCTACCATCACTTCTTTCAATGACTCCGCTCTCCCTTTAGGACCATTACTGAAACATTAGGGGGGCAGAAAATACATTAGCGTGCACATAATCCATCTTACGAATCAGATACAAAATTCTATACAGCATTATCACTCCACTTGGTTTTTTAAAAAAGGAAGTGAAAAGGAGGCAAGTAGGAGCCCAAGGGGGCAAAACGTGCTTTTCAACACGGGTCTCTTGTCTGCAGAATCTCAAACAAAGATTCTCTGGATTTGCTCAAGAGTTAGGTTCAAACAGGCATATTTTTATTTTTTTGTAATGCTTAGAGCAGAATAGAATAGAATGGTAGTGACACAGCAAGGCAGTATTAAAAGCTGAATTTATAAATGGCTTGTAGCGCCTAACGCACCGATGAACCTCCAGCTTCAAAGAGGAAGAAACTTTGCTTCGAGCCCAGAAGCAACTTAGAGACCACCAAGATTTTCAGGGTATGAGCTTTCAAGAGCCAAAGCTTCAAATGTGGGTTGGCAGAGCGATAGGGTACAAGCCAAAGCGTTGGGTCCAGCGTTAGGTTCCCGCTAACAGGTTTTTGCTGAATCCTTCCTTCCACTGTAGCAGAGGTCATTTCGGGGGGGATCGCGGGGGATCGCAGTTCCCCCGGGTGAGGTGCGAGGGGGCGGAGCACATGACGAAGCCCCGCCCCCTGCTTCCGGCCGCCCCGCTTCCAGCCCTCATTCAGCCAGGAGGAGGCAGGAGAAGAGGGAGGGTAAGTTGCTTCCTCCCCGCCTCTCCCCACCCCTGCCTGCCTGGGGCCAGGGAGGGCCTTGGCGGGGCTTCCTCGTACTCCCGCCAGCCTTGCAGGTCCACCACCGGGCCCCTGATGTCAGGGTGTGTGGCATATGCTAATGAGCTATGCTAATGAGTTCCCCTAGCTCTTTTTCTATGAAATGACCCCTGCACTGTAGAGTAACTAACTCCTCATACTGGTTTTCTTTTTTTGGGGGGGGGTGTCCGTGTAGTTCTGGATTGCCTTTTGGGGAGCTTTGCCTTTTGCTTTTGTAAACCACTTTCTGTATTATGGTATGTCCTGCCTTACCAGACCATGTATATCTGCATTGCTTTCCAGTTCTGTAAGCCTACTGCTGATTCATTGTTTATTAGATACAGCTTCCCAGAGTAGCCATGTTGGTCTGGGTTAGAACAGCTACCTTTGAATCCAGTAGCACAGAGAGCAGCGAGTTTTTCGGGGATGAGCTTTTGAGAGTCAAAGCTCCTTTCATCAGGTATCTATCGGATAAACGAACTTTGACGCTCGAAAACTCGTACCCTGAAAATTTTGCCGGTCTGTACGGTGCTAGTGAACTCGAATTGAGCTGTGTTATTGCAGTCCAACAGGGCTATGCTCTGAAACTACATATCTATATCTACCTAACTACCTACCTACCTATTGATCTATCTCTGTATCTATGACCATATTGATCAATCGAATGATAGATACCACCTTGAGTCTTGGCAAGCAAGATAACTATAAAGTTAAATAACCTAAAATAAAAACATTTTCGTCAACTACCTTGTGGTTTTGGAGATCGTTTCTGTTCTCACTTGCTGCCCTGACATGCACAGTGTTTTTTTAAAAAGTGGTTCCAAGGGACCGCAAAAAGGTTTCCATCATAGCAGCCGTGATCTCAGTTCCTCCAAAATATGAGGGGGGTTAAGTGCTTTTTAGGGAGCTGCGATGGCTCAAGTGGTTAAGACGCTGAAAGGCTGTGGAAGGTCAGTAGTTCAGCAGTTCAAGACCCGAGTGTGCCGCATGACGGAGTGAGCTCCCATCTTTAGTTCCAGCTCCTGCCAACCTAGCAGTTCGAAAGCAAGAAATTGCAAGTAGATAAATAGGTACCCCTTCGGTGGGAAGGTAACAGCGTTCCGTGCGCCTCGGTGTTTAGTCACGGCGGCCACATGACCACGGAAATGTCTTTGGACAGCGCTGGCTCTTTGGCTTGGAAACGGATATGAGCACCGCAACCCTAGAGTCGGATTCGACTGGCTTTCGAGCAAGGGAACCTTTATCTTTTTAAGTGCCTTTTGGGCCTATAGGGGTGAAGGGCAGGTCATGAAAATGAGTGTGTTGAAATGGGGCAGCTCTGAAATGAACACAAAAAGTGGTAGGAGGGGTCCACCACGACCCTTGGCAAAAGCGGCACGGGGAACACCACAGCAAGCCACTGAAGAAGAAAACGTAGATATATTGCTCCTACTGAAGTGTATTGCAGATCAGAGCATCCATCACATGCTTAGAGCACACACACGAGAATCCCTGGGCTTGCAGTAGGACACTGATGTGCTGGCGCTGGATGAGTGATGGGCAGCGACGGCCTTTAATTCCACCCCCTCAGCCTTCATGAGGTTTGCCGGATTTCATAATACTTTTTTAAAGAGAGAGAGAGAAATGAAATCTCCTTTTGCAGTTAATGAGTCGCTGGTCCCAAATTCCATTGAGCGGGGAAAGCTCCCGGTTTCTAGATGTAATAAAAGACTTGGAGATGTCCTCCCGACTCCATCTGCAGGGGTTGGGACCTGTCTCAGGCGGCCCGGCATCCTTCTATTTGTCATCGTATCGAGTCCGCCCGAAATGGTCAGCTCACGGGAAATGTGATTTCCCCGGATCTGAAACCGCTTTCACTTGGGGAACTGGACTTGAAAAGAGACATGGGAAAATAAACCTGAGGGGCAGTGGCTCAAAAGGAGTTAACCAGTTCTTGGACGCCCTTCTTTTAAAATCCTTCTGTGTTCCTCTCACTCATGTCTGCCCCGGGGACCTTAGCGGGGCGGAAAAATGACATACAAACATCCTACATAAATCATCTTCCCTTCTAGATAATGAAAGACATTTTTTGTTCGATGGCGATTTTATAGAGAAAAAGGGGGAGACCTAGAAATTAGAGGCACGGAGAACAGACTTTGCGAAGAACAATTCCTCTTCAAATACAATTAAATCCATTTCCCCCTTCCGCAATTCAAAGCGTGGCTTGACTTACTTACCGGTGGGTCTTGGGGACTGGTGACTTTCTCGGGCGTGATCACGGAGAAATTGTATGCAAACAGCAGCAACAAAGCGAAGGGCGCCATATACAACTCAAAATGCCAAACCGTGACCACGAACACCTATAAAGAAACAAAAGCAAGAACAGGGAACATTGGGAGGCATTTTCCATTTGAATTCAATTGAGCTACTAGAGAAAGAGATGTGAAGAATAAAAGCTTCTACATCCTTATTCTTACTGATACTCATCCTTGAATTTCCACTAACCTTTGATCCCCACCCCCAACCCACCCCCCTTCACGTTCATGAAAGAGAATCTGCTGGGGGTGTTTCAATTTGCTTGCCCCCCCCCCCGACACACACACAATGCATCCATTAGGATTGTTAGCATCACCTCCTTTGAATTTTTCATTGCATTGTTTATGTAATCCTACATACCTGCCAACAAGGAAAATCGAGAAAGCCATACTCAAGGTAAAAATAAAAGAGGCAAGGGTCAGAGCTGGCTTGCATGGTGAAAGAACGGGTCAGCTTCCAGCAGAAACACAGCCTGAGAGCAAACTCCGCCAAAGTGTGTGTGTGGGGGGGCAGCTATAGCGTGGTGCACCAGGCTGTACCCAAAGTCTTCATTTTCAGGCATCAGGAAAGCCCCACCAACGCACATCCAAAGCCCCCCCCCCACCCCCAAAGAGACATCACCAGCCAGAACAGAAAACGGTGATAAAGACACCACCAGTGTGATTTATCAGAAGGTAGATCCAGTTGGTCAGCCGGGCTGGTCTGAAGCAGTAATACAAAATTAGAGTCCCGTGGGGCACCTTTAACGCCGACAAGGGTTTATTCAAGGTATGAGCTTTCGTGCGCAAGGCATGCTTTTTCAAATACATTGGAATGGTGTGTAAGGTTCAGGCTTATAGACAGGGGAAGAAGAAGAAGAAGAAGAAGAAGAAGAAGAAGAAGAAGAAGAAGAAGAAGAAGAAGAAGAAGAAGAAGAAGAAGAGGAGGAGGAGGAGGAGGAGATTGGATTTATACCCCGCCCTTCACTTGGAGTCTCAGAGCGGCTTACCATCTCCTTCCCTTCCTCTCACCACAACAGACACCCTGTGAGGTGGGGGGGGCTGAGAGAGCTCTTTTGAGGACTTCCCTTGAAAGAACAGCTCTGACAGAACTATGGCTTGCCCAAGGTCATCCAGCAGCTGCAAGTGGAGGAGTGGGGAATCAAACCCGGTTCTCCCAGATTAGAGACTGCGCACTTAACCACTACGCCAAACATGATGATGTTTAAGATATGCAAAGTCCAGAATAACAACCTAAGGTTATCAGAGGGTAGTTTCAATAGTCCCCACTTATTAATTTATTTCATTTATACCCTGCTTTTCTCCCCACTGAGTACTCCAAAGTGATCTGGAGTGAGCCCAACTTGGCAGGGAGGGCGGGACATAAATCAGATGAATAATAAATAATTTTCATTGTTCTCCACATCTCTGTTTTATCCTCACGACAACCTCAAGAGATAGGTTACACTAGGAGTATGTGACTGGTTATAGGTCACCCAGCAAGCCTCAGTGGCAGAGTGGGGATTCGAACCTGGGTCTCCCAGATCCTGACACTGACAACCAGAGAAAACACTGGCTTGCGATAACTAACTTTCATTTCACCCCCACACCCCCACACACACACAACAATAAGGAAATGGCTCCTGGATTTCCTGCATGGCCTCTAATTCAGCTCCAGGGTCACCCAGCAAGTTTCCATGGAAGAGGGGGGATTCGAACCTGGGTCTCCCAGATACCACTCCAACATTCTAACCACTACACCACACTGGCGGTCATATCTTGGAACACACGAAGCTCAGTTGCACCCTTCATCCATCAAGGCAGTCTTGTCTACTTTGACTGGTAGCGGCTCTCCAGGGTCTCAAGTGGAGGTCTTTCATGTCACCTTTGACAGAGACCGAACTTGGGACCTTTTGAATACAAAACAGAGGCTCTACCAGTGAGCCACAGCCCATTCCCAGTGTTAAATCCTGGGGGGCAACTGGGCCTTCACCAGGGAAAGTTGCTTTACGAATTTTCTCATGTATTGGCGAAGGAAGAGAACTCAGCTCAGAAGCAAAAAGGGCCTGACTCAGCACGGCCCAATATTTGCGGGGCTCGGCAGAGAGGGAGAAGTGGTTGGATGCTGGGTGGGGTGGGGTCGCCGAGCAGCGGGAAGGTTTAGACCTCCTCCTTCCCTCAGGAACAATGGGAAGGTGCCAGGGTGGCTGGAGGGAGGGTGGTTTCAAGAGGAAGAGGCCAGCCGCTGGCCTTCCCCACCTGAGCCTTTGTCCAGCCACGGAGCAGCTTGCCCACCCAACCCACCCTTAGGTACGCCAGGAGTTGATGAGGTATAAGGATCGGTCAAGGGGGGTTCATGGTGATGTTAGAGTTGTACAGTTTGAAACAGTTAGCCTATTAGTGTAGTTGATGTATATGAGGAATTTCACATTACCCTTTTTAAGCTGGTTTGAAGCCGTTTTTGATCCGTCGTGGAGTAAACCGGTACAGGGCTGCCATTTCACACATGGCTTTCCCCTCCTGGTAAAGAGCTGGATTTGAAGGGTTTTGCCTTTTCAGACTGCACCGCTTTTTCCCGCCGTTTTTCGCCCTTGCGGGCGATCTCCGGCTTTTTTTTTAAGCATCCGCTTTAGAGCGCTATAGCGCTATAACACAACACTCCAGGTATTGCAATGGGGTTGCTATAACACTGTTGCATTATAACGCTATTAAGCAAACGTTAAAAAAAAAGCCGGAGATCGCCCGCGCGGGCGAAAAACGGCGGGGAAAAAGCACATCGGATCTGGGAGAGGAAACTGAAGACTACTTGGAAGCGGTTGACAGGTAAAACGCTTCAGCCCCGTTTCCTAAACGGGACAGAAGTGTTTGTGTGTGAAATTACAAATATATTCCGGTAGGGAACCAGTTCTAAAACGGTTCTGTCTGAAATGACAGACCAGAAACCGTTTGGGAACCATTCCTCTTCCGGATTATATCGTCTGTCTGAAATTCCTCCATGTTTTCTTTCTCATCACAACTGTTTGGTGGTGACAGCATGGGGACCGGATCCGTTTCTGGAAATTGGCCTGCGTGCCATTTCCTGGATACGGGGGTCGCCTAAAGGGGTCTTGGTGTAAGGGCTGATGGGAGCAAGCTTGCTCAAGGAGCACCAGTGCTTGCCCTCACGACCAGATGGCAGGGTAGAACACGAAGGGGCAGTTGTCCACGTGATCTCCGGCAGCCTGCCATTCCACAATCTTCACCCATGCCGGCTGGCTGGGTGACGGGTTACATCAGCTGGCGTATATCATTATATGCAGCAAAGGTGCTTTCCTCGGCATGTTTAGTCGGCAGCAGGGACCGTTTGGCTCTGCTGGGATATGCTTCTAAGTAAACACAGTAGCGGAGCGTTGCAATTGTCACAGGAACAAGAGAAATCGAGCCGATGCTGAACCCATATTTATAGCCCATGCTGACTCAATAAATAATATAACCTTGGAAAGAGTTTAAAGAGTGTGCTGGATTCTGGGGTTCCATTCCACTAGCAAAACAGTTTGCTTCAGGTGGGATCCAACCCGCGAATGTAACATAAGTTTATTGCATTGGCTCCTAAACGGTACCTACTTCAGACTTATGCAACATGATGGTTTGGGTGAATTAAAAGAGATTTCCCAATATTTGAACCAGCAAGCTAAGACTGGTTGCTTGATAAACCAGGGTTGCAGTCACACACTCTAAATAATCCACTTCCAATCCACTTTCCAACTGGATTTTGCCAGTTCACACAGTAAAATCCAGTTGGAAAGTGCACTGAAAGTGGATTGAAGGTGGATTATTTAGAGTGTGTGACCGCAGGATTGCAGACCATCTTCAAAAGTATTCCTTGCCAATTTAGCTTGCCAGGCAAGCTCTTGCCTTTATTCGGATGCAAAATTGGATTTACGCCAGGGCTTTTCTTTTCTGGAAAAAGAGGCACCAGAACTCCCAAGAGGGAAATGAAGTTTCCAATGTGTATACTGAAAACTCATGAACTTTTAAACATTTGTAAATGTTTTTGTCGAAGAGGTACTGGAACTCCATTCCGGTGCATCCTCTCAGGAAAAAAAAGACCTGCATTTTACACTAAAGTTGGACTAAGAGGCTTGCGGTACATGAAAGAGGAAGGGGAAGGAGGGGGAGAGGCTGCTAACCTCCAGGTGGGGCCTGGAGATCTCCTGGAATTAGAACTGATCTCCAGACTACAGAGATCATGTACCCGGGAGAAAATGCCTGCTTTGGAGGGCAGACTCCAGTTTATTATACACCACTGAGGTCCAATGTTCCCTCTAAGCTGTGGAGTCTTGTGAGCAAAAATTCTACTTTGTGAGCTACTGGCATTAAAGCTGTGAGCGAGTGAGTTGGTTGCTGCATAAATCAGTCTGCTCTGGAGCCATCCTTCCTGAGCTCAGAAATGTGTGAGCCGGAGGCTAAAAAACTATGAGCTAGCTCACACTAAATGAGCTTAGAGGGACCACTGGAGGCTCATTGACATTCAGAAGAAAACACACAAAGTTGATAGCAACAGGTATAATACTCCCACCACATGGCATCCTAGGTCCCTGGGCCCTTAGAAGTTTATACCATGTATGGTGGCAACTCAATTTTTTTAAATGGCACATCGTAAAAAAAATTTAAGTTGTGACTTACTACTTAGGTTTCTCTTGATGCCTTCAAGGACTGCCTTTGAAGCTGCCTAACATTTCTATCAGTTCTTCTGATCACTTGTCAAATAGATGCTGCTGACCGTGCAGACACAAAAACTGCTCCTTAGAGCCAAACTAAACATTGTAGGGGACATGGGCACCGATTCCGACTCACTGTCACACTGAAAAAAGGCACAGGTGACTTTAGAATCACTCCATTGTTCCACAGAGTGCTGCAAAAGGGGAAGAGGGGCTTCTGGCGTCTGTCCTGCACCATTTCTGCCAGTGAAAATAGTCACATGGAGACTGTCTGCCCCTTTCTTTAGCTTCACTTGTACCAGGAACATGTTTCCGTGTCCCAACTCAAGTCACATGTAATATCTACTTTAGCTCACCCCCCCCCCC